AGATGAAAATTCCCGGGTGCGGAGTTTACGCACGAGCCGAAGGCGAGTGCGGTAACCGCACCCGGGAATTTTCATCTTTACACACGGCTTACACTCCCTATTTTATGTTGCAAGTGCCTGGAAAGTGGTCTATCACGCACGCGTAGCGTGCGTAATGGGGCACTTTCCATGCACGTGTTGCATAAACGTTTTTTATAAAAACGCCTTGCAAACCCTGCGGACATAAGCAATAAAGATAGTTACGTCACGATCCATAAAATTTATTTCTTGATTGATTAATTAACTATTTGTATATTAACTCAACATCGCAAAATATTTCAATTTTTTGTAGGTTTGTGGAAGCAAACCAAATTCTTATGGATACGCACGAGTCTATATTTTATGAAACGCCGACTATTTTACGGCAGAAATACTTTATTTCAATAGATGAAAATAATATAAAATGTCCTAAATGTGTGATGACGTTTCCTCGTAAATGTCATACTATATAAACCGATTAAGACATCACTTAAAAGAACACAACGTATTTGATGCAAATAACCATTTTAATAAAGAACTGAAGAAAGATTTCATAATCCTACCATGCGTAAATAAAGATTTATGTAAACGTTGCAAGTCAGATATTTGTTACGTTTCAGGTTCCACACTTACTGTTCATAAAAATTCATGTAATTAACATTTTAGCAACAGTTAGTGACCATAATTTCGATAAAACTTTGCAGGATTTACAGAGAAAGTACTTGGCGCAAGACACTATACCGTGTCTCTTGATAATAAATATAATATAATAAATATGACAATAACAACAAATAATAAAAAAATAATAATAACAAATTAAAAAATTATTTTATTTCATTTTTGCAGTTACCAAATCATTCTTTTGAAGCGGCTGCAGACAAAGTAAGAATATGAAATGTAATAAATAATACATATCTATTCATATAAATATTAATACAGTGTTACTTTGTAACTTTTCCATTTTTAGGAAGAAATATCACCCAATTCAGGATTTTATATAACAAAAAGGCAAAAAACATTTTTAGAAATGAAGGCACAGTTAAACAAAGATTGGAAAATTATAGTGCGCGAAGTGATGTTAGACATATACGGTTTAGAAAAAGTTTCATTACATGAAACTTTTCATATAATTTTTCAGAATTTCTATATAAATTTGGCGTTAAAAATAATGTGTTACACTCATCCCTGGGGGGGACGTATATTCTAGATAGCAGATGAAGGGTCAATAGAGGTTTATAATAAAACCTATTTTGCTAGCTTAGTTCCTACATAAATCAACCTATTTTAACGCTAAAAACAGTAAAAAGGGAAATTTGAGACAGCGTTAGGGTCAAAGTAGGAGCAAATTATATCATTATAATTGAGCCTATCTTCACATCTTAGCTCCTACTAAATTTTAGAATTAAAGGTTTAATGAAAGGTCAAAATTTCGACTCGGGATAAACATGTATTATAAATCGGCTATGAATCTCATAAAATGGATTTGGATTTTATAAGATCTACTAAAGATTTATACTCCTTTGTGAAACCAGATATTTCAATTATTTATCAATTAAGCTACATAAACATAATATAAGAAACTTTAAAAACTAATTGTTTTTTTCCCCAAAAAAATGTTCTGCATTAATGCTGCTAGGTATATATAGGTTTCTGTTTTTTTTTTTACCAAAATTCTGTAAAAAGATTATTTGGTACCAGGAGTGTACAAATGTATATCCCTGAGATATGGACAAAATGATCCTGAGGATCATTTTACTTCCAGTGTATTAACTTCCAGTGTATTAAGGATTGAATAAAAAACACAAAAATTTTTAACTTACGCGTTATAGAATTATGCAATAATTTTTAATGCGGCAAAAAGTTCGATTTAAACAAAATTTTTAAGTCAATGTAAACTGTAAACGCAAATATTTCTTATACCCTGCGAGAGTAGGGTATAACAGCTTTTATAAAGCGTTGCTACAAAATTAATTCGATAGTTCCAACGGCAAAAAGCTTTTTAACTTCGTTATTTTCCGAGATTCGTGCTTTACGTGCGCGAAAATTAATATCCGTTTCTAACGAAAATAAATTTGCACGATGGAGGATTAAAAGTACGGTCAAATTACGCTGTCGCCGATACAGCTACGTAATCCCTATGATAAGCGAAAAGTTTCGCGAAACTAATCCCGCGCACCGATTTGATTTCGGAATTTTTCGCGTGGTTTTTAATACCGCAATTTTCACCCCTTTTTTTTACCCGCGTATAAGCCTGGGCCGAAGCTAATTCGTATCGGCAGCAACTATTCGGCCGGTGTAGATTAAAAAAGGATCACGCTAGCTGTGCGACTAGACGAACCCTCGAGGCACCTGTTGATCCTTCTCGTTAAAGTTTGAAGGAAGTGACCTGTCCTAGTCCTGCAGACACGCAAATGCTAAGGCAGGCGGTGAGACAGGAAAAAAGTAGCGCGACACGCCGTTGGCTCTACTGACAAATCAGATTTTTCCTGCTCGCGGTCCAACACGAATATACATTACATTATCCATTAAATCCGGATCTATGCCGGAGATTATCTTTAGCGCTATTTTATGAGCCTCGTCCGGCACTCTAAGGAAACCTCGATCTACGAAGCTACGTACTCACACTTTGTCTGAGCGATAATGTCAGACAAGATATAGTTTTGCATAAAATTATTTGAGGAATGTAATTTACATACAAAGTTCCGTATAACTACTGTGCCACGTCTCTCTATTTGGATACCGAAGGACAATGGTGGTTCTTGTAATGTAGAGATAGGTACATCTAAAAGATATAGTACCTAAAACCCAGAATAAAAATGTTCTGACAAATTAAATATCAAAATATAAAATAACAAACAATATTTTTCAATTAACGTCAAATAGATTTCATAAATCAAATTAAATATAAATATTAGTTACGTTAAAACAAATAATTTACATATTTGTCCTTTAATATTTAATATTATTTTTAATAAGTTAAATTAATCCTAATATGATAGTTATAAATTTTTTCTAGCAATTACATTTTTTGAAAAAAAAAATTGGAAACAAAATATTTATATTTCCATGTGATAATCCATAAAGAATGCCTTTCTTTGTTCTTAAAACTCTCAAATCAAGTTTTTTCAAAACTTTAAAAAATCGCATCACTGTCTCTATTTTCTCCCTCAATACCCATACTTGATGGTAAATACAAACTAATTAAATCCATTTTTCGAAGAATACTTTCGAATGTAGTCTGAACGTAGAGTCATCTGGTACTCAGCGCTAATATTATGTAGAAAAAAACGCAGTCGGCGAGGCGCGATCCAGACAAAACTTGATCCAAAACGTACGAATGGTAACAAGTAGGTGCAACTATCAGGCGGTTCTCGGTGACTCGGGTTACACGCGTGATTGTCAGCTGTCCGAACGAAAACGCAACAAAAATACCATTGGCATAGATTCGGCCGGGCAAAAATAGCGGCTGTGTCGTAAAATAGAGGAACAACCGGCGCTTCCGAGGCATCGAGCTCGGGCGCGTTTGCGGCTACGAAAGAAATGCGTCCGAGACTTTTCCGTTCATACCCGGCGCTCGTTTTCGATATTGAGCCGAGAAAGGGAAAAAGAAAATACGTGGGTTGGGGGGGGGGGAAGAGAAGATTTTATGGACCAGTAAATTCCGCGGAAATAATGCGCTTTTGGATCATATTTCCACCGGATAGAATTTACTACATTCAACCGATGATTAGATTGGATAATTAGTAGGCTTACGAGCCATAAGCTGTACGTTATAAGCTGTGCATAGTATAATGACGTATATAAGCATTATATATAACAAATATTCGATGAATTTCAAGTTGAGCTTTTTTTCTAGAATTATGAAAAGAGATTGAGTATGAAGTAGATGAAATATGTAGATGAAGTAAATATTTAACATTAAAAGATTTTGAAAATTAAACACAAATATAATGACATATGCATATTCATTACATACAAATTATAAATTGTTTTTAGCTCAAGAGTTGTGTACTCTCACAGACACAAAATCATATAAAGTGAAAACTACAAAGACGTTCAAACTTTGTAATAACTATAAATTTTTTATTTTGCGTGATGTTAGAGTTCATAAATTATTCACGCACCAAAGCAGTAATAATCTAAGAAAATTAGAAAACATGATAAAGTGCGCAAGAAAACGCGCGTTATCGAAATAATTCAAAGTGCAAAACACTAAGTGTCAAAGTTTTGCGCAAAAACAGCTACGTACGAGCGAGGGACTGTGACGATCTCGTTAAAAAGTTATAACGACGCTAAAGTTGGCCGCCAGATTGTGTCAAATACTCGAATTCTCGTGCACTTCGACAGGCAATTCACTTGTACTATATGGCGGTGCATAACTCGTCGCATTGTAAATGTACCGCTACACTCCATCATCGTGTTGAGCAACACAAGTTATAAATGCAAAATTTGCAAAAATCGATTTATCGACAGACTCTTTTATGCAAAGAAGTTTTACATAAACTTGACATCTAAATATTTACACGCACATCATTCTCTCGCTTTGCAACAGTTTTCTAAAATAAAATTGTGTTCTGTTTTTTCATACTCGAAGATGACATGGGTCTGTCGATCAAAATTCTATTAAGGATATTAAGTATCAACGACAAAAATTGACATGCAGAAAAAAAGCAAATAAATTAAGAACGTTGAAAAACACTTTTTGCATAGGGGCGTGCAAAGTATAGTATGATTCGCCCTTGGAAGAAAAGAACAAGATATTTATAATCGTTCAGACATTGATGTGTCTGTGTGTCATAATTCAAATTAAATAATACATTAATTCAAATAAAAATAAGTAATTAAAAATTATCTTGTACGTGAGGAAGATTGACGTGCAAGATTTCGTATATAGCAAGGTATCGTGATTTTTACAACTGACATGTAAGAAATTCGTCACAATACACATCATTATAAAAATATATTTAAAAAATCATATTTACCCCAGCGTAGTCATCGTAACGATGGTGTACCAGAAGGCGGAAGGTATCGAAGTGAAGTTGGTGCCGTCGACGTTCTTCTCCGCGTAGAACATAACGGTCGCGAAGATGATGATGGCCATCGCGAGCGAGAACACGAGGAAACCAAGCTCGGAGGCGCAGGACTTTAGAGTGTAACCGAGAATACGTAGTCCCTGCGAGTGTCGTGAAAACTTGAAGATACGGAACACGCGGAACACGCGCAGCGTCACGAACGCGCCCGACACGTCATCGTTGTCGGTGATCCCGAGCCCGATGTAGTACGGCAGTATCGCCACCACGTCGATGACAGACATCACGGAACGCGCGAACTTGCACCGGTCGGGCGCGGCGAACAGCCTGAGCAGGTATTCGGCCGTGAAGATCATCACGCACGCGGTGTCAAGGCAGAAAAACACGATCTTGTAACGCTCGCCGCACGAGAGAGTGCCGGCGCGGCCCGGACGATTGCCGCACGGCACGGTCTCCACCACGTTCGCCAGCACGCTCACAGCGATGAAGAATCCGGTGACGTAATAAAACACCAACGCGGCGGTGGAGATGTGCGGATTCTGGAAGGCTCGCCACATACTCTCCCGGATGTCGAGCAGTGGCAGAAGGGTCTGATCACCGTTCTCGCTCAGCTTGTCATCCATCAGCCGCTCGGCGTTCTCGCGCTTACGATCCCGATAGTCCTCGTAACAACAATCGCCGATCACGTCCGGCAAGATACCGAAGAACGCCAGTTCCTCGTCGTAGCTCGTCAGACACTCGTGCTTCGGATAGTGCAACTTGCCGGTTCTATAATAGTTGAGGATGTGCCGGAAGATGTCCGGATCCCGGTCAAAAAAATACTCCTTGCTCTCCTCGTCGTAGAAGAACTCGCGCTCGTTCGAGCCGAGCAGCGTGTCCGGATACTTCTCTAGGGTGTTGCGCCACGTCTCGAAGCGACGGCCGCTCACGTTGATCAACAGCTTCTCGTCGTCAGCCTTGCGCCGGTCCTTCGGGATCGGCGGCGGTGGCAGTGGGTGTGTGGCGATCGGTACCCAGCCGATCGCCGCCGCACGGGCGAATGGCAGCCACGCTGCCACCGAGGCCATATTTGAAGGTGGAATCTTCCTTCAGGGTAACGGGAGAGCCAGCGTTCACCGTACCCGAAGTGCTTGGCGGCACGCTCTACTCTTGTCACGTCAAATTGATTCTCTATACGCAGACCCTCTCTCTTCGAAGTGACGATCTAGATCCACGACAGGTTCAACATCGATGATCCGACCTGCATCAATCACTTACGGTGGATACGTGCCTCGACGATGGATAAAATCCTTGGACCGTGTAGTACGTTCTTTCGTCGATTTGACATTTACGAGCTGAAATTTAGCAGCACTGCGCGCCGCTCGAACGTTCGTCGCTATCTCGACTTCAAATATCTTACTTCAAATATCTTTCTTGCAACGAACTTAAAACAATTTTTTTATTTGAGACTGGCAACTCTCCAAAGATTTCTTCTACATACAGATTCAATAAAGCTTTCGAACTTAAAGACTTCCTCTCTCCAATTTGTGGCGTGGAATACGCTGCTTCTTGCCGCGATTCTTCTTAGGTCAGCTCAAGCTGACGTTTGTTTGATTCATGCTTCTTCAAGCCCGCCGCACGATCAGCAGTATGACTACTGGTCTAGATCTCTCTCTCTCTCTCTCTCTCTCTTTCTTTCTCTCAAAAAATGATCACATTGCTAATCTCTATTTTTAATTCAACTTCTCGACTTTTAACGATTCTTCTAATCTGATCTTAGTTTTAAGTCCAAGATCTACTTGCTATGTCTTCCTTGCTATCAGCAACTCTTCTACTTCCATTTATTTATTTCGTTTATTTTATATACAAATCTATTTATCTACTCGTCGGTTGCGTATACTTAATCTCTTCAACAAAATTCTCCCTCGCGGGAAAACGGATTCAATTTTTCTTTATCGTCACTCTCGCTCTTTAAAATGCAAATATCGAAACAGTCTCTCACCGAGACCCGTCGCACCTCGCCGCATTCGTCGTTATAAGATCGCGAGTGGCATCAAAGAATCGTAATTAACTGGGCAAACAACGTTTGCCTCTCCAACGTCGCGGCGACGACGATGACGACGACGCCGACGACGACGACAACAATGACGATGACATCAGCGTTAATTGCCTAAGATCGGGCACGATCCCGAAGATCGTCATTTCACGCCTGGCATTCCAAGATTCTCCCTTTCTCTAATTCGGTCTCTTGAGGAAATATCGAGCTTAACGAAGTGACGACCGGCACGCAGCAAAACACGAGCCGAGCGGAGACGCGCGCCGGGCCAACCAATCGCGTTCTGGCAACGTGCCTCCCATCATCATCGATAGTCACGCGATAGCTTTTCGTGGTACTCTTCAGAGTATCGCGCCGGAGATCTTCCACCTGTTTTGGCTCGGCTTGGCCGCCGCGAGAGCCTGAGCTTGAGTCTCCGCCAGCAAGCGCCCACCAGGACACTACATTCTCGAGCTTTCGAGCTCACCGTCGGGTCCCTACATAGATACGAGTGCACTTCTCGGAGAGACGGATGTTGACGACATTACGCGTCGATAAGACTCGATGTTTTTATCGAGCCCGGATTCACATTCAAACCTCACGAGTTCATGTAACAAACAATGAAACGTTCTCTTTTAATAATAACAAGAAAAAATGCTTTAAAGGCTAAAGATAATCGCGACACTTGAGAAAATAAGTCTAGAAGTAGTCTCTGCAAGAAGATTAGAGGTTTCTGTAAAATTTCTCTTATACACTTTGTAGTAGGTAGAGCTTTTCGCAGAATATTATTTAAGACACCGTGTATCGAGATACAAGCTTCTTTCAAGATGCCATTCACTTGTAAATGCCAATTGGCTGAAGCTAAGAAAAATTTCGTTTCTTGCTATAAAGCCTTCGTTATCCAAGCGCACACTCGTAAACTCGGTCACGTCCGTGAAGTTGAAATTCGCATGGATAAAGCTTCGCCGAAGCCGCTTGTAGAATAGAGGAGAAAACGCTTACGAGTAAACATCAAACAGTCAACGAAAGAAGAGCGTCCGCACAGCTTCCCGGCGTACTTTCTGAAAGCTCCGCCGTGCTTCGCGTCAAAACAAAAAGAGGCGTTTGTCGCTCGCTCGAAGACCAAATGCCGAGCGAGTCTCGTTCATCGGACACTCCGGATTGGAATACGCGCGAGCTTTTTTCAATCGCGCACGCCCCGCGCTACGCGCAGCGTCTATCTTTGTATGGTCCCGGACATTTTCCTCCTCGTGGCTCTTCTGGCGATCGCCGGAGCGCAGGTACGAAGCTCACTCACCGACGCACGCGACCGCTTACGCAAGTAAGCACCGCGCGTACTTCTCCCGCGTCGCATCCAGGTCTATCAAACTCGTACACGCTCCCGTTTCTTGCGAAGTGCCGATCCACCGATTCCGGAGGTTCCGGAAGCACGCCAGCCGGTCAAAAACTTCCACGATCGGAGTTCTTCCCGAGAAGGTAGCGCGTCTCCGCAAGCTCCGGCACTGGGAGCTCGCACGTCGATCTTCCCCCTCAGGCGACCGCCTGGACTATTCTCCGTAAGCTTGCGCGCACTACGTTCCGCTCACAAACTCGATGCTCTCCCCCCCGTTCCCTCTCACTCTATCTCTCTCACTCTCTTTCTCTCTCGCCGTGTACCCGATACTACCTTCTTGCACGAGTATCGCTCTTTCGTCCAAGCTTTTCCACCGCTGCTCCTCCCGCTGCGCGATGCGACGCGACGCGCGCGCGAACAGTGCGTACGCACGCGTGACCGGGTGTACGCGCCGACGTCCTCGTACGTATACGGTAACTGCCGCGCCGTGTACGTGTGTGTGTGTGTGTATGTGTGTGTGTGTGTGTGTGTGTGTGTGTGTCACACGTACGTGTATATGTGTTGTACGAGCGCGTGTAATGTGGCCTTTACGCGCGCGGCACCGTCGCCAGCACCACGATTGGAGCACCCGCTCGATGAGTTGGCCGCTCGCGACTGCCGGAGCTTGGCCCGCGCGGCCCCGAGAGCTCGTGGTGGTTCGCGGCGGTGGTGCGGTGGTGGCAGTCGGCTAGCCCGGCACCTCCAGAGAAGCGTGGCTCTCGTCGCCTCGCCAGAGAGAGCGGAGCGGCCGCGTCGCAGCAACGCCGTGCGAGTGCAGAGCGGTCACCTAGCCAAGGTCTAAATTGATTTTTACGGCGACGGCGGCGGTGGCGACGCGCGTCGGCGTCCCGACGCGGCGAACATTTCCCGTTGCCCGGGCAACCCCTCAACGATGACGTCATGGTTTCCACCGCTACCCCTTTTGCGCCCGCCGCCGCCTCCATTCGCCTCTCCTTCTTCACCACCCGATCCACCACCGCCGCGCTGCCCCCGTATTTCCACTTTAGCCTACTTGCGCTTTGAGAAACGCTGGCTTTCAGCTTCGTCCGCTCGCTCCGCACTTCGCACGGTTCTCTTAACGAAAGGGAAAGAAAAAAGGAGAAAGAGAAAGAGAAAAAGAGAGAGAGAGAGAGAGAGGCAGAAGTTATCCCGATCCGCTATGTCTATCTCTCGCCTTTCACGCGAACCCTCGTATTTATCGTACTGTTGTGTTTTCTCGTGTTCTTGCATTCATTCATTCATTCATTCATTTGTCCTTTGTTCTTGTTATGATTCTCTCCACATAGATCTACTCTAGCGGAGTATTAGGCTTTTTTCCCGACGAAAAAACTCTTTCCGCCTTCATCTCGTATAATCAATCTCTCAGCACGAATCATCCTTTTTCCATTTAACTCTGTTTATCATTTCTGTATTTTAATATCAAACTAATCCGGCTTATTCCGAGCTTATTCTGTTATTCTCTCGCGCGTAATCCGTAATCGAGCTTGCTCCGGACTTATTGCAGACTTATGGTCGGTTAAGTCTATTCCTCGGTTAGCTAACCTTGACTTCTCTTATATTACATTATCATTATGAGCTAGAAAGACTTGAAATCAATTATCCAATCCAAGTAGTAATGCAGAAGTTAAGAAGAAACTCGGTTATTATTCTAACTGCTTGACTCGCACGCGTGAATAAAAATGGTAAATAAAAATAGCTTTCGCTGATTTGGCTTTAGTTACACGACAATGTTGCGATTTAATAATCTAAATCCCATCTCACTATTTCCCTCTCTTCTTTCATCTTCCATTTCCTCTTGTGATGAACAATGCTTTCCCATTCTATTTACTTTTTTCACCACTTATTCTATTTGCGCGTTTACGTGTTATCCACCGAGCCCAGCTCCATTCTCTTCGGGGTTCTTTTCGTTCGATTTTCTCGTATTTTTACCGTTCCGCTTACATCACCAGTATCAATCATCATTGCTGCACCCCTTTCTCTTATATTTTCACCTCAGACTATAATTTCGGGCAGTTTGTCTTTCCTCTTCCTGACGGTCTTCCGTTTCTACCTTTTCTCTTCCTTATCTTCTTTTTCAGTCACCGACACTTTATCTTTATACTTCTGCCATATCTCTGTCGCCTTTTCATTCTCATTTTTTCGATGTGTACCGTTTTAATTACAGTTTTAATTTGTGTCTTTTATTTAAATTTCTTTTGTTTGGAAGAATTTCGTACGACATTCGTATTTATCTAGTTAACGTTTTGCGTCTTATAAAGTACGGCTGCTCTCGATTTTGCATATACTTCTCGTTATTTTCTTTTTATATTTTCCATGTCCCTCATTTCCCGCTTGTTATTTTCGGACCAATTCTACAAATTATGATCTCACATAATCTTTTTACGCTTTTTTCATCTGACGCCCCGACTAGAAACAAAAAGTCCTTTTTTTCTTTCCACCATTTTCCCCTCCCCTTCCATTTCATTACCGCGGACCTGACAAGTTTCCCTTGTTCATTCTCTAAGTGTTGCGTTATTTTTCAGTTTTTTGCCTCTCCTGTAGCAAGGAAGATACTTCGTTTAAGCTTCCATTCATTCGTCTTCAACAAGAGGTGCAGATGGTTTCACGATTCTCTTCCTTGTTGTCAGTTTACTTTGATAGCATCAGCGCTTGGTTGAAGCGAAATAATGTCCAACAGGTTTTCATTCGTCACCATTGGCGAAATTCAGCAATTTTTAACAATGCGTGATTTGATATCAATTAAAAAATAAAAATGCACCTCATTATATAACAACTTATATACAATGTATGCATTGATTATTATAAAAATAAATAATATGAGTGTATGTATGCAAAAATTCTTTAAGTGATTCTCTTGTTACGTGCAGAGCCGTTCTTTCGGTCCCGCACTGCACTTTTCCTCCTAACAAAATTGACTCGGGACGAACCCGAGTCAACCCGCGAATCGCGCACCACGAGAGTCGCGCATTCATATAGCGTGGTCTCCCTAAATCGCGCGTCGCGAACATACTCGGCTCAGCCAATCCGAGTCCTTGCGCGAGCACAACGACTTAAGGTTGGTTTATAATAGCCGTAACCGTTAACTTAGGCTGGTGCCGTAAAAGTTAGAAGATAGGAAACCCGTACTACCGTTTATAATAGTTGGCAATAATCTGTTATTTTTGGCCGTAACCGAAAAGTTGACTCAACTTTACCTTTATACCTACACCTTTACCTGACCTACAACCAGTGAAAGCAACGGAAAAGAAGTGAAATTAAAGTGAAATCCATCAAGGGAGTCAGAAGAAAGGAATCACACATAACCTTTTGACATACGTGATATATAAGTGATGAACGTACAAATAAATGACGTGGATTTAATTTTTTAGGTCAAACAATTTCGGCATTTATACGACAAGAAAGAAAAAGATTATAAGGACAGAAATGTCGTAGAAAACTCTTGGCTATTTGTTGGTGACAAATTGAAAGCATCAAGTGAGTATATTACAATATATTTGATAAATATTAATTATCATAGAAATACTAACATCAAAGTTTTTGCAGATGCACTGTCAACCTCCAGAAAGATACGGAGAATTCAGTGCTTCAACGTGCCGTTTCTAACACGTACAGATAGCACGATACCGGCACATAAAGACTACAAAGGAGAGGATGTATGTGGACCTTATAATTCCACATCTCCTTACTTCAATCCAGACCATGACGAGACAGAAAAAAAAAAGATTTATGAATTTATTATTTTACTCTTTTGACGCACCTAACATCGTGGTGTTCGCACGATGTAGCTTGGACACAACATCTGGCGACGCATAATGTATTGCTGCGTACTTAATTATGTATAATATCTCACTTGATAAGGACCAAATTGTAGTCGAAACGTCGTGAGTTAAATTAAATAGGAATTGGCCAGTTGGGTCGCGTAATCTTGAATTTATTTTTATCAAAGTTTTTCCTAAATTTCTGTTTGTTTTGTATACGCAAATAAAAAATTAGATTATTTTGTTGGAGAAGATATAGAAAATTTGAATTCTGATAAATGACTGGTTTTCAATCACACATTTATACCATTTTCAATTAAAATTTAAAAAGATAAGCTAGAGAGTCCACGACAGTTATTAATTCGAATAATGTATATTATTCAGAAAAAAACAATAACAAACGTTTCTGTCTACATTAGGTCTTCTTCAATGTATATGATACGAAAAAAATTTACAAAATAACGAAGTTAAAATTTAACAAAGAATACAATCTTTATACATTTAATACAATTTGCGTTTTGTAATAATTGATTTATGTATTAAATGTATAAAGATTGTATTTTTTGTTAAATTTTAACTTCGTTATTTTGTAAATTTTTTTTGTATCATATACTAGAGAAGACCTGATGTAAACAAAAAAATGTTTGTTATTTTTTTTTTTTTATATGTATATAATATACATTATACGAATTAATAACTGTCGTAGGCTCTCTAGCTCCTTACCTTTTTAAATTTTAATTAATTGAGCCTTTTCAACATATTTTTTGTTGTCATTTTCAATTAGTTAAAGTACGCTGAATATATGTCACATATAAAATTATATAAATACAGATATACTTAATGGAATACAGTATTAAATAATTATAATTATTATTTAGGTTCTGAATGTAGAAATCGTTGAATTGCCTTGCGGAATCAATTTTCAAAAGAACGATGCAAATTAATACGATCAAGATCAGGAGCATCGGATCAGAGAGTCCTAACAATTTGTAGAATTTAGTCTGCGATATTCTTGTACATTTAATAAATTGTTCATTATCTACTGTCGCCATGTCTTTAAATAAATTATGAAAATGTCCTGTGTCTTTCCTTTTTTGATTAATTGGACGTACACTCCAACGGCGTTTTCTTCTTATTTTTTTAATCAACGGTGCGTCTTCATATGCAGTGTATGCTAGCCTAAGAATTGATAAAAACATTCCACACAATAATTCCAGATAAATCCATCATTTCTGTGTTGGACAAATTTATTGTTTCAATTTAAATTTATTAATATAAAAAAATGTGACTTTTGCAGGTTATGCGTTTTACGGTGTGACTGCGACCGTAACAGCGGCGTACCCTGACTATTATAAACCGCCTCTTTACAGATTATATACGGTAACGGCCTCTACGGCACCAGCCTAAGTTAACGGTTACGGATATTATAAACCAACCTTTAAGGCCGGCAACTGTATACAGACAATTATATGAATGCTATTTAAAACTGAGTTCGATGGTGCTAGAACCTAAATTTTCGTTGTACATAAAAATTAAATATATGTGCATATATATAAACTAGATTTTTCGCAGCACAGTAGAACATAACTTAGCCATGTAATTAATATACCGAATATTCGCTTTCTGCGGGAAGAACAAGTGATCACTCGAAGCCGGAAGAGCGGCCGTATTTCAAGCTAGTCATAAAAACTAAAATTCAAATTTGTCAAGCTTAATGTTTAAAGAAAAGTGCATTCTGTTAATGATTGTTACACAAAAACCTGCCTCGAATTACACAAAATGAAGAGTTAACTAAAAAAATCAGATAAATTTTAAGAGAAAGTTGTTTAAAAGTAAACTAATAAAAAAGGAGAACACATAAAACAACAGATT